ATGAAGAATGAAGCTCGAAGCACAGTCGACGACGGATCACCTGTTTGCATAACCTCTCGACTTCCTCGAGGATGAGCAACGCGTTAAGATTGGGATTTTCTTTGGCCCCAGTAAAGAATCCTTCAAACAAGTCATTCTCCCCGAGGGATGCCCCGGCATCGGAAGTCTTTCTATTATGGACATCTCGTACCTCCCTTGGAGATAATGCCGGACCCAACGGGGAACCACCCACATAAATAACTCTGGTTGGATCGAAGGGGGCCTTCTCTTGCCTTCGGGGAGCCTCAGAGCTGGGATCCCTTAACTCATTTACCAAAGGCCCCTCGGCTCGGGGAATGTCTTGGTCACCAACCAGCTCAGAGGCATCATCTAATCCATCCTCGAGAGCCCCTTCGGCCTGAGGTGGGACAACATCAGCAACTTCTGGTTTGGAAACCTTCAGCTCAACAGCCATCTGCCCAGCAAAACCCGAGGCAGGCACACTTCCTCTTCCCCCAGGCGCATGCAGGGAGTCATCCTCCTCTTTGCCCCCAACTCGGGGACTCTCCGTTGCTTCCGAAGTTAGGGCCGATGAATCAACCTCAGGCATTTAAGTTTTTGCCTTCTTCAGTTTTAAGGATTTAGTCGGCAATTTTCTTTTTCTCTTCTTCTCCTTAGAAAGATTTGAGGTACCAGCCTCCCCGGAGGAGTTTTCCCTCATCAAAGAGGCATCTCTCAAGCCTGCACAAACACAAAGTGTAGGTACGAAAATTGAGAATACGGCTAAAGGATACCTCATGTAACGAGCTCAAGTACGGCAGAAGAAAAACCTTACCATGGTTTTTAGCTTCCCATCGGGCCTTGGCCAGATCGCGCCACACGCGCTTAGCATACGGGCAAGTCAAATCAAGCTGGCGAACCCAGCCCGAAAGATCCTTAACTGCACCAGGGTACCACTCAGCAGCTGCACCATCGAGGGAAGTTAGCTCAAAAGAGAGAATGGTCCAAAGGAAATAAAAAATATTTAATCGATATATCCACTTACGGTTCATATTCCATTCCTCGGGGAATGGCATCCTTTCAGCAGGAACTAGATCCGAGGTCCTAACCCGGACAAAGCGGCTCATCCACCCCTGTTCTTGCCTTCGTCGGTACAGGCAAAGAAAGCCTTCGGGGCCCGACATTGAAGCTTAATTAGACCACCTCGGTAAAGTCGGGAGCTGTACATCCTAATCAGATGGTCGAGGGTAAAAGGTAACCCCTCGACCATGTTTGCAAAGTGCCTAATCATGTAAACAACGTGCCAGAATGATGGATGAATCTGGCCGAGAGTCACCCGGTACTGTCCGCAGAAGTCGAGGATTACGGGGTCTATCGATGGCGAGGATGGTCTTACCGGACCCAGCGTAAAGGGATATGTGTATACACTAAGTAAACCGGGTTTGACTATTGTTATATCTTTCGCCCGGGAAGGTACCTCCAATTTCTACCCAGCGGCAGTCTGTTTTCACAGTCTTAGTGTCGATTATTAGGCTGATGTATCGGGACATGGGTTCATACCGCCCCGGTTTCGAAGAAGGTTTGTCAACCGTAAAATCGGAGGATGTCTCACAGGGTCCGGGGATGCATTCCTCAAGACTAGGAGGCGTTGTGGCCTTGCCCTTAGACGAGCGTGAAGACGAAGAAACTTTATCACCTTGGGGAACGGTTCTAGAGGTCTTTGCCATTTCTACCAAAAGATTTCAGAGGAAAAGAGATAAACTGGGTAAGAAACGAGCACAGAAGGAAGTAAGGAGAGCTTTTTAAAGTTCGAAGATGTGATGCAGAGAAAGGAGTGAAGGATTGGGGTATTTATAGGGGCCAGTGGTGCACATTGGGGAAAGCCCAGGGACGGCCAACCGTCGTAATCAATTCGAGGATTTTTTGAGAGTCGTGCGAACATGACTTTTAAACATCCCTTTTTTTGTCACATCAACCGCTCACGTGGCGTAACTGACATAATGATGGATGCATTGTAGAGTTGAAGAATTCAAATCGTTCCTTGATATTTCATTCCAAGGAACGCGGGGACTATTTGTATACGGCTAAAATCAGGGAAAGCCAATTTTAAGGCTTCGATGGCATTTTCGAGCCCGGCATCGGTAGGATCGAAGCACAGTTCAAGGCTCGTCCTCGAAGCACTCGCCTCGGCGGGGCACACCGAAGACTCATCGTGACGTCCCTCGGGGCAGCATGAAAATCGACAATCGTCATAAAAAGGCAGGAGGCTCCCGAAGAGCATGTGATGAGAACTGACGGAGTCTGCAAAAATAGTACAAATCCATACTGAGCCGTTGCACAACTGTACTAATGGCATTTGTTCTTTATTTATTAGACATGTACTATGTTAGGATTCATGCCTCATATATAAGGGGGACCCTTGTCATTTTGTAAGGAGATAACACCTTGATATTGAATATAACACAACATTTTCTGCTCTCTTTGCTAAAACAATTGTTCTTCATATTTATTGCTTATTCTTACATTGTTCATACATTGTTCATTTATTTCTCATTATTAATCGTAAAGGCCATCTTTAAGGCTCTCACTACCATTGATTCTTCATCAATAGTTTTGTCGTTATTAGCTCCGTCTAGACCTCGAGGCCCTGCTTCAGCCAGCTCGAGGCCTAGCTTTGTGACCCCATTGGTTCGCATATCCTATTCTCTTTACTTATACCTAGCATCTATTGCTTAACAACACGTATTTTTAGAACCACAAAATCAAATATAATTGTAGTTACCATTTTCAAGGTAAACAGATTCCAAATGTAAGTTTTCTCATTCAAATGTTTGAAAAGAAAAATGAACCAGAATTTCAATTAAAGTAATTACCGAGTTTGATGACAATTGACGGAGACCCAATATCAAATAAGGTCCAGGACTTGAGGGGTGTCACATGGGAAGAGAAACAGAGTCGAGGGAGGTGGGTAGGAAAAGGCCGAGTCTTGTGCTACATAACATGCATACCTAAGCCAACAGTAACAACGGTTGAAAACTAAAGAAAATAGGAACGGTTAGTCACATAGTAACATAAAATCTGAAGGGTTACACCTCTTCAAATAGATTTATTATTTTTATTTATTTATTTAAATAAGTAAAGAATTTAGATTAATAAGAGGGGTAATTTGGTAATATATTTTTTAATTGTGGGCTTCCCACTTTCAATATAGATATAGATAGATATAGATAGATAGATAAATAAATACATAGATATATATATATAGATATAGATATAAATATATTTCTATCAAATCAAAAAAATATAATAACAAAGGTACACTTTCTTTGTCGCAATTTATATGGCGGAACTCTAATGTCGAAAGTCAAACTTCATAATATTGATTGTGTATACATAAAATCTTTCAGTTTTTGAAATTAAATTTATATATTTAAAAATTACATAAAAATTATTATAAATCATAATAATTAATAATTCAAACTATCTAAATAGCGATAAAAATTGCGATAAAAAAATTATTTAATTTTCGAAATTCGAACTTCATCATATAAATTGGGACAGAGAGAATACTTATAATTTGACCATTAATTAAATGATAATTTATGTACAAGACACATATCATATTCATCTACTCTATTAAATGCAAGTGCGAGAAGGTGTTAAATCATATTTCTTACTCCCTCCGGCCAACAATAAGTGACCAACTTGCTTTGAGCACACTCATTAAGGAAATACTAAATTCTAGACGTAATTAGTGTGACTAAACTACCCTTTATTAAATGTTGCACCATAGTTATAGTAGTACTTACTTTTCTCAAATATGAGGAGTAAATGACTTTTTAGGGATACGTACATAAGGGTAATTTTAAAAAAATAAAGTGAATTTTTTCTTGATTATATAAATGGACACTTATTTTGGACCAAAATAAAAAAGAAAATTATTCACTTATTGTGGACCGGAAAGAGTATATTGTATGCCAAATGTAAGAACTTGTACAAGATCAAAATATATAGAGGGTGTTTGCCTAAGCTGGTCAAACTAGCTTATAAGCACTTTTCAGCTTATCTACGCGTTTGATAAAGTAAAAGTATTTATAAGTCAAGTGCTTATAAGTTAAAAATAAGACAAAAGGCATAAGCTGGGCACCCCAAGCTTATGAATTTTTAGCTTATAAGTACTTTAAGTTTGACCAAGATTTTTACTATTTTATCTTTAAAATATTCCTTGAACAGAACTCCTACATCGATACTCACTGCCTCAAGTATTTTTTCAACCTAAGCCCCCCTCCCCCTCCCCCTCCCCCTCCCCCTCAAGTCTGCAATTCTCATTGACTATTTAAGATAAACAAATTCTTTATTCCTTTGCATATTTATATCTATATGATTGTATAATAATTTTTGAACCGCATGTAATAAATGAGGACATATACAAATTTTGGTGTATTACTTTCTAAGTGTTGTGATGACGAATACAATGCTTGTTTCTCTTCAAATATCATATCCTATTTAGGTTTACTTTTTACGGAGAAACTTTTGTCAGTGTATTAATTGTTATAACTTATGACTATATGATTATCATAAAATAAATTATATTTATTATAAATTATCTTATCTAAGCACAATTGTATTTAAAATAAGATGACAAATAGAATATTTTGTATTTGAATCGATCTGTAATCTAAAATTTTGAAAAAATTACACCCTTATAAGTGTAAATAGTTCTAAGGTTATTTAAGTCATTTTAAGAGAAAAAGAGCTTATAAGCCCTATTTTTATCAAATACTGCAACAACTTATTATCAATTTTAGCACTTGTAGCCAAACACATAACTAATATTTATTAAATCAGTTTCTAACATTTAAAAATATTTTTCAGCTAGTCATCATCATAAATAAATGGAAAGAAACGGTCACACGGTCGAGCCTTGGAGTTCTTTTGGGGGCAAGTGGAAGTGTGAGAAGACATAAATCAAAAGCTTCACGCACATGACGTCAGCGCAGTTTAATACTAATATCAGCCACAACAGGTGTCCCCACAATCCCACAGTCCCAACCAAACAACATCATCATCATTATCATGATCAGGAACTATTCAATAAGCCACTCTCTCTCACAGAGTAATCCTCGGCGTCTCCGATCCGGTAATCCGCCGAGTTGCTAGGATTTTCCATTATTCAGTTTTCACCCCTTCTAAATAAGTAAATCCCCAATCTCCACATTTCCAATTCTCAGGTACATTTCTTTCTTATGCCTATTCATAAAATTCTCTATTGTAACAACACTCTTCTCGGCTCGAATTACCTATTAGAGTATGATTTATTCTTCTTAGAAATATATATATATATATATGTGTATTTATATTAGGTTAGCAGATGGCTGTGGTGTTGGAGGCGAAGGATGCAGGAGAATGGACTTACAGAGGAGAAGGGGCTGTCAACCTGGTTCTTGCTTATAATGGAACCCGTTCTGATTTTGTATGTCTCAAGTTCTTCTTTTCATTCTGTTCACTGTGTAGGAATTCTTTTTAGCAGCAAAAAGGTGATGCTTTTTGGCAGCATATTTATTAAAAAGATAAGATTCTAGGATAGATTAATATTAGTTCCATTTTTTTTTTCAAATAGGAGTAGTTATTTAGGAAGACCCACCATGATATTCTTTGATTTTCACTTAACCATTTTATGGTAATAGTTGGCACTGTTGCATGAATGAGTTCAATAAGTTCATGTACTTTACCAACTCATCAGAAAACAATTACAATAACTACTATGCTTTCACTCCAAGTTATTTGGGATTGGCTGTATGAATACTCATTATTCATTTTGCTTTGTTTGGACCTGTTTCACCTTACTCAAGATATGTACTCTTAACTCATCGTTCCGTTTTCATTGTAGTCACAAAGGTAGTTCAAAAATTGCTTTAGGTCACAAGTTAAAAAATTTGGATTCCCTTATTAAAATTCTTGGCTCTGTCACTGCCCTCTACCCCACAAATATTATTATCTGTTGAAGGAGTGATTCCTGTGCAAATAAACTACGGAAGAGTAACTTGGTCTCCTTTCTTGCTTAGCAAATGGTTTGAGAATGCTTGTTGATATTCTTGAAAAAAGGAAGATTCTTTGATCCAGGAATGATTTTACTTTTTTTTGCACTGAAGAATTGAACCAAATAAAATGTAAAACTGATTAGTGGAAGTATTCTGGAGTATCATTTTTTTTTAAAGTCTGAAAAGGGTTTGATTGCTTAAGTGCATTTCCTATTCCTTTTTTTTAGGTTGGAAAAGTATTGCGGATACAGAAGGTACCAAGGAATGGGTCTGAAAATGGGAATGGTTATTTAGGTCTAACCAATCAGGAATGCGTCTTGTGGAAAGAAGTTAATGAGATTGTATCAGCTCCTACAAGGGAAATAGCTCAGCACTATTTTGTGCAGCATGTGATGTGCCCGCTTTTGGGTCCTGGACACGTTGATGCAGGGGTGTGTTATGCTGCTAGATTCTTGTTATGTTGTATCTGATCTGGTTTTCTGTATATCATCTTTTCTTATATATGAATAGAAGAAAAATTACTTTTTCCCTTTTCCAGATACTTCTTTTCTGCAGTTAATAATAAGGCATTCGGCACCTTTTCAATGAGTTTTTGATCCTTTAAGATCCTAGAGCATCTATCTATGCAGTTGCTCTTTTGTATGGGCATTCTTTATTTATTGTTTGGATTGAATAAATTAAGACGTTCAAATTATGATGATCTATGAGTTTGAAGATTATGTTTTGCAAGGTTGTAAATTTTGTTTTCCTTTTCTAGCTGATTCGATATATTCAGTTGCCTATATAGGAGCATGGTTAAATATCTACATCTTGTTTCTTCCGTTTTGTTTGACAGATTAGCATTCAGGTGACCCAAGAATTTCTGGAAACCGTTGAAAGCAATGTCCTCTCACAGCGTCCTGCTTGGCGTGTTGATGCTGCAAAGGTCAATCCCCTATGTGATTCTGTTATGCTCATTTCCGATCATTCAGTGTTCCCACTCGGTAATAATTTTCAAATCCTCTTTATCCCTTGATTCATCACTAAAATGTTAACATGCACATGTTTCACACCCTGTAGTAAAGAACTGAACATTATATTACAGAAAGCTGTTAGCATGGACCTATCAAATAAAAAGAGAACAATAGTAATTGACGTCCCATTTAGTAGACCAATAAAACATAAAACTCAGTACATACCTATGTTTTCTGAGGTCATAATCCTTCCTATATTACTTTCAGTTGTTTGAGTGCAAAAATAGTTTTAATTTTTGTGTCCTGATCTTGTAAATACTTTGTGGTTAAATCAATTTCATGCTACTGCTAACAAAATAACTGCAATTTCTGTTTGTTTCTTGAAAAAGAACAGCAAAAATTCGCAGTGGACAGCTAGCTTTATCATCATCTACATGTTAACCAAGCAGGCTTAGATATGGACATTTATTGTAGTTACATTGATTTCTTATGGTACTCACGTTCTCCTACTGTCAGGTATGTGTAAAGAGGCATGCAGCATTTCTGTAGAAATTAAGGTACTTGTATCCTAAAAGCTTTAGTTAGTCTTCCTCTTTATGCTGCGTTTTCTTCTTCTTTTAAAAAGAAACTGTTTTCTATACATTTCCATAGTATGTTTTTCTCACGGCTATCTCCATTTTCCTTTTGTTGAAGCCAGCCTAAGTGTGGATTCCTTCCACACTCAGAATTTATCGCAGAAGATAATGCTATTAAAAAGAGTGTAACTCGTTTTCAAATGCATCAGGCTCTAAAATTGAACCAAGGAAAGGTAATAATTGTTCTATCTGCAATTTATTCTTGAGATAAAGCTGTCTCTGGTGTATTTCTTAATTCCATTCCATCTCATTGCACTGGCGGAATTTTTAAAAAATTTTGCGGGTTTCTGCCCCCCCCCCCCCCC